GTCTGTGATAACTCTTAGAGCCATTTTACCTTCGGAGTGGGGCTTTTTCAGGAATGCATGTGAATAAGCTAAGCTAGAGCTCTTTACCTTCTGTGCCCTAGGACTTGGTAGCTATAATGAGACTTTGAGACATGATCTTAGGGAAGAGTGACTGTGGTATATCAGTCTCCATGCCAGGGTTGGGAGACAGTTCTAGGTGAATATGAGTAGAGCTTCATCCTTCTCTTCTCTCCAAAAGCAACTGGGTTTTGGCTGAGGAGATGTTAGGCTGGCTGGATTCCAGTTAACTCAAATTACTCATTTGACTCTGGAGAAGAGCAAAATAGTCAGGAGGCTCTGAACAGGCCAGATAACCCACGTCAGCATTTAACCTGAGAAGCAGCAGAGTGAAGGTGGAAGAGAAAACTAGAAAGGAAGCTTTACCTAAGGCCCTTACCTCAGGCTGTCTTTGCACATCCAGACTTCCTTTTTGATATGGACCGTATTGTTTCTAGTTAGAATAAAAGGAAATCCAGTTTCTATAGAATTGGGAGATGCGCCAAAGTTGTTAGCCTTTTATTTCTTTTACATTCTTATAACTTTATGCCCTTAGGCTTGATTCATGGCACCTTGTATTTCTCTTAGTGGGGGGATACACCAGATGCCAGAGAGCAGGAGATAATTTAGAGAAGAGAGGAGTGTTTGAGGAAACAGCTGTGGCTAATGTAGGTTCACAAAATGGCCTGTGTAGAACTCTTCTGCTTTGTGGTGAGTCATTGAAAGAAGACCAAAGGTAAAGCAAAAAGTCAGCTTTATTCATACTAGTCATTCTTTGAACTTCATCTTATTCATCAAATTGTTGAAACGACATTGAACCTTCTAATTCAGACTCGATCCTTGTCCGGACATGACAGAATAGGCATTTTTTGGTAGGAATGGATAACATTTATTTGGAGGCAGAAAAAATGGAAAGATTCTGGAAAGGATAATTGTAAGTTATTGTCCTGTCTTTTCTTTTCCTCCATTGAAGGAATGTGCAAAAAGAATATGAAGTTGGCCAGGTGCACAGTGGCTCATACCTTGTAATCCTAGCCACTCTAGAGGCAGTGATTGGGAGGATCAGGCTCAAAGCCAGCCCAGGCAAAAAATTAATGAGCCCCTCCAGTGTCAGTCAATAAACTGGGCCTGGTGGCACCTGCCTTTCTTCTCAGCTATTCAGGAAGTGAAAGAAGGAGTTTCTAGTTCAAGCCACACCCAGGCAAAAACATGAGTTCCTGTCTGAAAAATAACTATAGCAAAAAAGGACTGAGGGCATGGCTTATGGGGTAGAACAGCTGTCTAGTTAAAGTGTGAGGCCCTGAGTTCAAACCCCAGCACCACCAAAACCAAACAAACCCAATTACAGTTTTGTTGATAAACATTACCTCTTTCTTCAGAATGGTTTCAAAGATGATTCAAAGCTCTCAATTTAGTTGTCTTCATCTGAGTCCATAGTGAAGACTGCACATCTCAGCCTAGACAGATAAAAAGCTCCTACCTTCAGCTTTTACCCCCATTCTATCCCTGTAAGTCACCTGAGATTTCTGAAAAGGCATTTATCTTTGCAGTTATTTCTGGTGTGTGATACAGTTTGGTCTCACTAAAATTTAAAGGGGCAAGTGGGCGCTGGTGCTCACTCACATCTGTCCTGAGAGATTTTTTTTTAATCAAGAGCTTATTTACAAATGTTGTTTTTCTATTGTTATTGTTACCATTTTTGTGTGGTGCTGGAGATTGAACCCCCGACCTTGTGCATGCTCAGCTACACCCCCACCCTTTTTTTTTTGAGACCTGGTCTTGCAGTGTAGCTCATGCTGGCCTTGAACTTGAGTTCCTCCTGCCCGTCTCTCCAGTGGTAGAATTACAGGGGTCCCTCATCATGCCTGGTTCACACATTTTAATTTTTTAAATGTTTTACTGCAGAGACTGGTGAGCAACAGAATTTTTAGGAGTTTGCTTTTTCTTTAGCTATTTTCTGAGAAGCAGACAAAAACTTGCCAATGAAAAAATCATCTCTGTTAGAGTAAAACAAAGAAAGTGATTATGTTAGCAGTGTCCTTCACAGTATTAAGCAGATAGAAGAAGCAGTCCCAGGTATTAAAGGAACTGAGGGATAGTATGTATCAGTTTTTATTAAATAAAGCTACATTCTCTCAAATTTATTGGACAATAAGTTGAGTTTACTGAGGGCCAGAATTGTACCTATATTGCTGTCTTTTTTGTTCCTGCTTAGTATATATCTATATATTAAAGAATAAATAAATTGGTGGTCTGATATTATTCTTTCTGCCTACAATGTTTTTATCAGTCAAGAATTCCAACTACCTTATTTTCTGTAATGTCTCATATATGTTAGTGTGCATACAGATCTGCAGATTTGAGGATTGGGCCATTAAGAAGCTGAAAGAACCAAGTCGCCTTTATTTTTTCAGGCTGGCTAGGGAATCATTTACTGGAATTGAATCTGGATTTTTCTCCTGTCCTGTATAGGTTCTTTGTAAAATCATGAAATATTTAAAATGTACAGAGATCAATTTAGGGAACCTTCATATACACAGTATCCAGCTCTATAAACTTATAACAATCTGTCATACTTCCAGTTTTTGGGTTTTGTGGGGGGGGGTGGGGGCTGATACTGGGATTTGAATTTGGGTCCTACACCTTTTTTTTATTTTTATTTTTTTTTCATTTTTCTTTTATTATTCATATGTGCATACAAGGCTTGGTTCATTTCTCCCCCCTGCCCCCACCCCCTCCCTTACCACCCACTCTGCCCCCTCCCTCTGCCCTCCCCCCCCCAATACCCAGCAGAAACTATTTTGCCCTTATTTCTAATTTTGTTGTAGAGAGAGTATAAGCAATAATAGGAAGGAACAAGGGTTTTTGCTGGTTGAGATAAGGATAGCTATACAGGGCATTGACTCACATTGATTTCCTGTGCGTGGGTGTTACCTTCTAGGTTAATTCTTTTTGATCTAACCTTTTCTCTAGTACCTGTTCCCCTTTTCCTATTGGCCTAAGTTGCTTTAAGGTATCTGCTTTAGTTTCTCTGCGTTAAGCCACTCTGCCAGCTCTTTTTTGTAAAGAGTTTTTCGAGATGGGGGTCTCAAGAACTATTTGCCCTGACCAGCTTCGAATGATGATCCTCCTGATCTCTGTCTCCTGTGTAGCTAAGATTCCAGTGTGAACCACTGGCACTCGGCTCTGTTTTAAAAAAGAATAACACTTAAAGACAGATGCCTTACCACCCACACTGATCCTAGTCCTTTCTTCATTTCTCAGGGTAATCATGATGAATTTGGCTTTTTTTTTCTTTTTTTCTTCTGGTGCTGGGATCGAACCCAGGGCCTCACGAATGCTAGGCAAGTGCTGTACCACCGAGCTACATCCCAGCCCTCATGATGAATTTGGTATTTGCAAATCTCATTTTCTTTATACTTTTGCTACCAAAAAATACAGCCATAAAATAGCATTACTTTGCATGTTTTTGAACTGGTTTTAGCACACATATTTCTAATGTGTTTTTGCAGATTTAGGTGTTTTTATTTATTTATTTTTTGGTGGGACTCATGGCTTTGCACTTGCAAAACAGGTGTTCTGCTGCTTGATCCACACCTGCAGTCCAGTTTGCTGTGGTTATTTTGGAGATGGGGGTCTCTTGAACTGTTTCAGTTGGCCTTGAATCTTGATCCTCCTGGTCTCTGCCTCTTAAGTAGCTAGGATTACAGGCATGAGCTACCCATGTTTTGCATGTTTTTGGAGATTTTAACCATATTTATTCATTGTTTAGTAACTATTATATAGTATCCTATCTGAATATAACTCACTTATCTCCTAACTTTGTTTTTTTCTTAATAACACTGGGGTTTGAACCCAAGGCCTCACTTACCAGACAGGCCCTCTTACCACTTGAGCCACTCTGCCAGCCCTTTTTTGTGATAGGTGTTTTTGAGATAGGGTCTCATGAACTGTTTGCCTGGGCTGGCTTTGAACCACCATCCTTCTGATCTCTGCCTCCGGAGTAGCTAGGATTATAGACATGAGCCACTGTTCAGAGACATGGCTGTTCTCTGAACTTTGAAAGTTTAGGTTATTTTAGTTTTTTGGCATTATAAAAATTAGAAATAAGAAAGTACTTGTTTCCAAGCATTTATTTCTAGGGAGTTTACCTGGAAGAAAAATGGCCATGTTATATGGTTTGCTGCTCATCCATTGATATGTTTATGCCAGATTTCTCTGAAGTTCTTTTACTAAACTAAACTCTCATCAATATTGTATGAAAGTTCTGTTTTTCTGCATTCCTTCTCAGATTTGATGATAACAGACTGTAAAAATGGTTTTCCAATCTGAAATACTAATTTGATTCTTCTGACAGTCACATCAAACACATTTTGCTAGGTTTATTGTTCAAGCTTGGTCTTTGATCATTGAAGTGTATGCTTTGCAAATTTGTATTATTTGTAATGGTAGACTTTTATTCATTGGATACTGATAGAGTTAATAAGTAAACATCTTTAATGAACTAACACATTGCAGTCTTACTGTTCTTTCATCTATTTATTTTTATTCATTTATTCACATGTGCATATATTGTTTGGGTCATTTCTTCACCTTTACTGTTTGTTCTTGTGGAGAAATGTTTCTGCTGTTTTACTCCTCAAGAGGTTTACCTCTAAAGAGTTTGTAAAAATATTGTAAGCCTTCCCATACTTGTTGGCATTTAAGTAAGCAAAACCTAGTGAGTCTGAGCATTACAAAAAATCTAGTGTCCTGAGGTCTGAGCAAGGCAGCATGTGTGAATTGCTTACAGCATTTTTGTGAACTATTTTGGATTAAGGGTAGTTTATCACTTGACTAGAAATAAGCTTAGTGCACTGGTGGTGGCTTATTACTAAATGCCCAGTTTGAATAATTTTTCAGATTTGAAGAAAAGAATGTTTCCTGCAGTGGTAACTTTTTTCCTTCTTTTTCTCATCCCCTAGGTTGTATCAGAGTAAGATGGACGGTAGCTTTGATTGTGATTGTGGTGAGCTGGAGCCACCTGATCACTAACAAAAGACATCTTCTGTCAACCAACAGCCACCAGGGTTTCCTGTTGAAATATATAGCAACAAAGGAAGTAAAGAAGCAAAACGGAAATAGTGCTCACCAGCACCTTAGGATGATGCTGCTCAGGACCAGTCCAACACTGAATGTATCTGCACTGTGAGGAGGATGTCCATAGAAGCCTGTCGTGTGCATATTTATTCACATTTTTGTTAAATGTTAAATCGTTTAGCACAGTAAATCTGAGTGCATACTATGTCATTTCATTCCGTTTGAGTTTCTTGAGTGTTTTCTTTAAATGTCTGCAGAGTTGCTGCCCCTCTCTTGAACTATGAGTACTGCAATCTTTTTAATTCTCAATATGAGTGGAGAGTTTTGAGCTTTAAGTCTGCGGGGAACTCAGCGGGCCTGGTTGGCATTTGCAATGAACATCAAGAAAACATCTTGCTCTAGAAGCATAATTATTTTTCTTCTCCCTTTTTGAAAGATCTTTCCTTTTGATGCCAGTTTTCTTCCTTGTTTACACAAGTTCAACAATTCTAAAGGAAAAGGCAATAGTGATTTCAAAATGGCAGAGAAATTTGAAAGTCTCATGAACATCCATGGTTTTGATCTGGGCTCTAGGTATATGGACTTAAAACCATTGGGCTGTGGAGGAAATGGCTTGGTTTTTTCTGCTGTAGACAATGACTGTGACAAAAGAGTAGCCATCAAGAAAATCGTCCTTACTGATCCTCAGAGTGTCAAACATGCTCTCCGTGAGATCAAAATTATTAGAAGACTTGACCATGATAACATTGTGAAAGTGTTTGAGATTCTTGGTCCCAGTGGAAGCCAGTTAACAGACGATGTGGGCTCTCTTACCGAACTGAACAGTGTTTACATTGTTCAGGAGTACATGGAGACAGACTTGGCTAACGTGCTGGAGCAGGGCCCGTTACTGGAAGAGCACACCAGGCTTTTCATGTATCAGCTGCTACGTGGGCTCAAGTATATTCACTCTGCAAACGTACTGCACAGAGATCTCAAGCCAGCTAATCTTTTCATTTATACTGAAGACTTGGTGCTGAAGATAGGTGACTTTGGTCTTGCACGGATCATGGATCCTCACTATTCCCATAAGGTTTGTGGAAAGCTAGTTCAGACAGACTTCACATGATGATGCCTTTTTTTTTTTCCCTCCAGATACAGATCTTTTAATTCACAGTCTCCCTATGTTTGAAATGAAGGTGGAGTGGAATCCTAATTAAATACATATTATTTAAAGTCTGTGGTTATTTATTATAATGCAGTTCTGAAGTAAAGGTATTTATTGTAACTGAAATTACCAGTTTTTTTCAAAGTGGAATATATTTTTATGTGTTTGGGACAGAAGTGCGGATCTACCCAAAGGTAAAGGGGGTGCTATTTCGACTTCTAGGTCTTCCTTTATCCTTGTGACAGTACTATACTATAATTAACTCCTTGTTAAAACAAGCCAAATTTAGTTTGAAACTTAAATTTTTGTAAACAACTGACCATTAAGTATAGCCATAAAGATTCATAGCAGTTTTCCCATATAAGCAGCTTGCTTTCATGTAAGAATTTAGCAGTATTTTTCCAAGCAGAACCCTGCTCTTTTAGTTTTAAATTGAAATCTACTGTAAGACCCTGACGTTTAAAATACAAAAGTGGAACTGCTTTGGTTGCAAAGAACCTCTGAAAGACCTGCTGGAGTGGCTTTCCATAGCACATCTAAAACCAGCAAATTTTTATTCAGACATATTATCTCACATGAAGGATATCTTTACTTCATTTAAAAAAACCTTTAAAATGGAAATTGAGTACTAAGCTGAAATGGATGCCTTCGTTCTTTTCATGAGTAACAATGAAGTATTATAGATGGTACACTGAACTAAGAGTTACACTAATATTTACTTCCACTTCTACTTCCACCCAGCTGGAGCACCTTAAGCTATATGACCTTAGTAGTATCATGATCTGAGTATTATCAAACCTGTAAAATGAAGTTACTGTCTACCATCACACTTTCTAAGCATCATTCTGAGGTGGGATAGGGCAATATGTGTAAGTATTTTTGTCAGTCACTCTGTAGCAAAATAGATCAAGTAGGAGTTGGATATATAGTAGAGCTGGCTTCTGTGGCAACTCTGGTGCTCTTCCTATATCTTTTTCTCTTTGACTTGACACACACCTGCTTCTTAATTATTTTCAAATTGACAGCAAAAAATAGTTCCTTGTGTGAAGTAAGTTTTGGATTTATGGCCTAGAGTTGGCACTAAATTATTGTATATTTTGCTCAGAAGTACAAGAGTTGAAAATGGGCTTAGATATGAACAGTATTGTTAGTATTTAACAATTATTTCTTTTGGGTGGGTCTTTTGCTAAAGTAAAAAATTGTATATTTTTTATTTCTCTTTTAGGGTCATCTTTCTGAAGGATTGGTTACTAAATGGTACAGATCTCCACGTCTTTTACTTTCTCCTAATAATTATACTAAAGCCATTGACATGTGGGCTGCAGGCTGCATCTTTGCTGAAATGCTGACTGGTAAAACCCTCTTCGCAGGTTAGTACTACATGAAAAAAAATTATCTCAAAGAAAAATCATTTTGCATTTAAGATTTATTGTAGTCTGGAATATTCAAATGAAAAGATAAAATGATGTTTTTATTTAAAATTTTTGAGAAGAATTATGTACATACTCATTAAATTGTTTTTCTTTGTAAGTTTAATTAAAACCCTTGAATTTTTTTTATATTCTGCCATCTTATTTCCTAAACCTAATTGCATATTTTGTGGCTCCATAATATTTGGTGGTAATCTATGTAAGTGATACCTGAGTTGCATTAGTTCTGTCAGTGTTTGTCATTTCCTGGTAAAGTTTTTTATTTGTCAAAAATCCAACAAATTTCTCTTAATCCCTCCATTCTTGTTGCTTGAACCACTATATCCTTTTACCTAACTGCTGTGATCTTTCAGAAATAAGCAAACAAGTAGTTTTTTGTTAGCTTGGTGCTGCTGTGAGTCTAATGTAGTATGTGTGAGAAAGCTTAGTCAAGATGAGAAGCAATGAATAACCTATGAAAAATGTCATTTATCATAAAACAAGTATGAGTTTGTACAAAATTTGTGCATCCTATAAGAGTTCTGAAGTTAGAGGCTGCATCAGTGGTAGCTGGAAAGGCAGGAAAATGGAGTGAAAAAGAATGTCCCCTATGATAGGAATAGTGATAGAGAAAGAAAGTGTTATTTACCTAAGGGTACCCACATAAATGAAGGAATGAACCTGGTACATTCATAAATCATTGAGGAAAGTTTGATGGACGCCAAAGTGTCACGTAATCCTAAAGGATATTTTGACTAGTTAATATGGAATCAGAATACTTAGAAACTGTTTTTTTTTTTTTTTTTGGATGACAGAACTGAGGTTTGAACTCAGGGCCTCATGCTTGCTAGGGAGGCCCTCTACCTACCATTTGAGCTAGAAAGAAAGTCTTCTTGAAAGTAGGTAAAGGAGTTACTTTTTGGAAAAGTAGAAAACAGTAGGGAACTGAAGACATCTTAGTTAGGGAATTGATGTGAATGGTGACTTAGTTCCTTTTTTTGCTTTTGACATTACTTTTTCCTTCATCACCAGTATTCAGAGTGCCCGGCCCTTTTATTACTCCCAGATTGTGCTAAGTGCAGAACGAAGGGAGGGGACAAAGTCTGTTTACAGAAGAAAGATTAGGGTGCATAGGACAGTATTGTTGAAGACAGGATGCTATTCCCTAAATGTATTTTTAATGCTAGTATTTGTTGCCACACTTAGCTTATATAACATTAACCAAAGTTTTAGAATTTTTCCTTACATTATCTGAAACTTCTGTGATGTGTGAGAGTGATTGCATTTCGATTTAGAAAACATTGAGGCAGCCTGGGCTACAAGTGGTAGAGTGATTGCCCTAGTAAGTATGAGGCCTGCTTTAAACTGTAGTGTTGGCAAAAATAAAAAGAAACAGTTAAGTGGATTGGATTTTTTTTTTTTTTTTTTTTTTTGGGATAATACCGTGACTAGAGATTACATTCCCAACAGTAAAGTATCTTACAGCATATATAAAATAATTACTGTAGGATTATTTGTGTGTGACAAATTAACCCAAAAATGTGGCACAAACCACAAACCTTTATTACCTTAGTTTCTATCAGGATTTTAGGAGTGACTTAGCTGGCTGCTTACAGCTCAGATTTTTCGCAGTCAGAATATTGGTCAAGCCTACAGTCAACTGAAGGCTCAGGTAGGGCAGGAGGACTCACTTCTGAATAGCTTACTCACGTGTACTGTCACCAAGAGACCTCAGTTTCTCCAGGTGTGCTTCTTCATAGGACTGCACTTGAGTGTCTTCCAATATGGCAGCTGGTTTTTCCCTGGAACTAATAATACAGAGGAGAGCAAGGAGCAAGTCAATATGTCTTTAAAAATTTTTTATTGACACATACTTCACACATACGCATTTCAAGTGTATAGTCAACATATATTAGTACATTTACAGAGTGTGTAACCCTACCATGTAACTTTAGAATGTTTTCATATTTCCTAAAGGTACTATCTGTGACTATTAGCTGTCATTTCTCATTTCCTCTTTCTCCCAGCTCCTGGCAACCACCTTTTATCTCTGGATTTGCCTATTCTGGATGTTTTGTATAAGTGAAATTATACAATATTTGGCTTTTGTGGCAGATTTCTTTCACATGACAGTATTTTGGAGGTTCATTCATGTTGTGGCATATGTTAGCAATTCATTCTTTTCTTATGGCTAAATAGTATTTTATCTGTGGATTTACCTTGTTTTGTTTATCCATTCATTGGGTGTCTGCTTTTTGACTGACTATTGTAATGCTGCTGTGAATATTTGTGTGAACATGCATTTTCAGTTCTTTTGGGTAAATGTGCCTAGGAGTAGAATTGCTGGGTGACACATGGTAACTTCATGTTTAACTTTTTGAAGAATGGACAGTTTTCTAAAGCAGCTGTACTATTTTACATTCTCATCAGCTATCAGTGTACGTATGTATGAAGGCTCCATTTTCTCCAACACTTAAAAGTGTTATCTTTGTTGATTATAGCCACCCTGGTGGGTATAAAGTAGTATCTCATTGTGGTTTTGACTTGCATTTCCTAATAACTTTGGATATTGAACATCTTTTTTGTGGTTATTGCCATTTTTGCATCATCTTTGGAAAATGTCTATTGAGGTCTTTGGCCCACTTTTAAATTGGGCTATGTTTTTGAGTTGTTAGAATTTTTACATATTCTGGATATAAATCCCTTATGAGATACAGTAGCTTACATATATTTCCTCCCATGTTGTGTATGAACTGTCTTTTCCTTTCATGCTATTCAACAAAAGCTGCACAAAACACAAACAATTTTCATTCTGAAGTTCAGTCTATCTTGTTCTTTTGTCACTTTTGCTTTTGGCATCATATGTGAGAAAACATTTTCAAATTCAAGTGTGTGGATATTAGCTCCTGTTTTCTTCTGCGAGTTTTATAGTTTTAGCCTCTTAGGCTTAGATCAGTAACTCAATTTTTGTGTTGAGGTGAGGGTAGTGGTCCAACTTCACCCTTTGCATGTGGATGTCTAGTCGTCCCTGTACCATTTGTTGAAAAGGTGCTTTTCTTCATTGAATATCTGACTTGTTAAAAAAAGCAGTTTGTCACAAATGTGAGATACCTTTTTGTGACCTCATCTCAAAGTTATACTTTGTCACTTCTGCTTTATGTTATGCTTTAAAAGCAGTCCTAAGTAACTCATAGTGAGTGGGGAAGGGAGTTGGATTCTACCCCTCAATGGGAGAAGTATCAAAGAACTTGTGGCCAGATGTGTGGTTCATGCTTGTTATACTATCATCGGGGAGGCTGAGGTGGAAGGATCAGGAGTTTTAGGCCAGTCACTGTCTAAAAAACAAAACAAAAAAAGTTTTAGAAAAGTGGATAACTGTAGGTGTGGCCCAAGCGGTAGAGTACCTGCCTAGCACGCACAAAGCCCTATGTTCATGTGTGGGCTTTTTCTTTTTCTTTTTGGCAGCACTAGGGTTTGAACTTAGGGCTTTATGCTTTCTAGGCAGGCTCTCTGCCACTTGAGCCATATCCCTACCTCTTAAAGCTCTGAGTTCAAACCCCAGTACTTTGAAAAAAATAAAGATTTGCTTGGGCTAGAGACGTGGCTCAAGCAGTGGAGTGCCTGCCTAGCAAGTGAGAGGCCTTGAATTCAAACCTCAGTACCACCAAGAAAAAGTGGATATATTTTAAAGCTGCCACAATAATAAATCAGAAATACAAAGGAAACATCAAAGTATATATAATGTACAATTCTTAGGTCATGCTCCAAGTTAAAGAAATTGGGTCAGTAAATATTGTATTGGTTACGTAAAGGTATTTAATGCATTTTAAAATGGTCATTTGACACATTCACATATTGTTTGAGTGTAACAACAACAAAAAGATGGACTTTAAAAAATCCCAACTAGCATAATAGAAGTTGTTTGTGAAATGATTTGAAAGCTCTCAGTTGTAGCTCCCTTCTTACTAGATGCTTTATTGGTATGTTTGTGAACTGCTCAATGAAAGTGGTTATTAGGTCTGTAAGCAGCCAGTAATCAGAGCAAAAAGTGACAAATGAGTGCACTCATTGAAATCTATTTCTGACCCATAGGAAAGTATGCTAATTTTATTTTTTGGTGCTTTTCTGTTGTACATCCACATTGTCCCTCTTGTCAGTGCTGCAATCCAGAGCCAATCCTTGTACTTTGTGTTAGAAGATATTTTCCCTTCTACTCCAGGCCTTTGCTCTAACACTTTTTTCTGTTGCATCTTTATTTTGTCCTTCATAAAAGTGATCATGTCATTTCTTGGCTCAAACTGCATAATGGCTACCCAACAAATGCAGGGTGAAACACACCCTTGGTATTCTTACACCACTGTGACTTCACCTCCTGCTGCCCCTAGCCACTCTAAGTTGTTACAAGCCGATCTCTGTACTTTTTTCCCTACCTTCCTCCATTTGACTGTATAGTGAATTCCCTCCCTTCCTTAATTTTCAGCTTTTCTGTGAGGTCTTTCTTGGTCATTCTTTAACATCCCTACTCCCAACAATGCTGTGTGTCCCCCTTGCTCTGTGTTTTTCTTGGTGGCATTTGTCACATTTTATATGCATTACACTTACAGAATTATCCATCTTTGCCCACTAGATTATAAGCATCACTAAGGCAGGGGCGTAGTCTGTTTTGTTTCGTAGCTATATTACCAAGCGCCTTGCTCATAGTGGGAACTCAAAATTTGAATGCATTTTTAGAAATTTTTGGGAAGGCAAATGGAATTTTTTTATGTCATCCAGTTAGCCCAAAGTTTCCTCTTTTATTCCTTTAAATAGTGGTCCTGACTTAGAAATGCTGAGCCCAATATGTAGCTATTTGTGCAAATCTAGTCCAGCTCTTCATTTTATTGATGATGAAACCAAGTCCTTTTGATACTAAGTATTGTCCAAAGTGAGAGGTAAGTAATTAGTGGTGGTGCAGCTAAGACTAGAATCCAGGTCTCTCTTTTTGGAGACAGGGTTCTTGCTATATAGCCCAGGCTGGCCTGGGACTTTGAACCCTTCTGCCTCAGCCTCCTGTTGCTGGGATTATAGGTATGCCCCACCATGCCCAGCTGAATCCAGGTTTCTTGAATCATAATCATTGCTTTTTTTTCACTTGTCTGTGAGGTCTTTCTTGCTCATTCTTTAACAGCCCTACTCCCAGCAGTGCTGTGTGTCCCACTTAGCTTGCTCTGTTTGTTAGTATGAACCCAGACTTCTGCAGAGCAGCTAAAACATACCAGTGAGCAAAGTGGCAGATACTCCATATGCTCTTTTTTGTGCTAATGGGGTTTGAACTTAGGGTCTCATGCTTGCTAGGCAGGTGTTCTACCACTTGAGACATGCCTCAGCCCTTTTCACTTTTGGTATTTTTTTAAATAAGGTTTCATGTTTATGTTTATGCCTGGACTGAAATCCTTCTATTTACACTTCTTGTGTGGCTGGTGTGACAGGTGTGTACTAGGCTTTTATTGGTTGGAATGGGGTCTCTAACATTTTTCCCAGGCTGGCTTCAAACCATGACCCTCCCAAGTAGCTAGAATTAAAGGTGTGAGCCACCGAGCCTGACCTGGATATGCTTTTAATTAGACTGGTGCTATAAGCAATGAAATATGCTGATTAGGTTAAAGCGGTTCTCTGCCTCCTCCCCCCCCACACATCATTACAATATGTGAGAATTTGTTTATGGTTTATGTTGTATTTGGTGTTTTATGCTCTCAGGTGCACATGAACTTGAACAGATGCAACTGATTTTGGAATCTATTCCTGTTGTACATGAGGAAGATCGTCAGGAGCTTCTCAGCGTAATTCCAGTTTACATTAGAAATGACATGACTGAGCCACACAAACCTTTAACTCAGCTGCTTCCAGGAATTAGTCGAGAAGGTATTGTCATATTAATGCGTGTGTGTGTGTGTGTGTGTGTGTGTGTAAAAGCAAGCTTTAACTGTTTATTTTTAGGTATGTAGTTTTCTCCCAAATAGCCTATAGCCAGGTGTACCTAAACCTTCAACTCTCACTTCCCTCTTTTTGGCCTGGCTCTTATGCTAGGATTTCTTTGTTTTTCTGAGTAATTTTCCAGAGTCCCAAAAGTATACCCCTCTCTCTCGATTCTAACTCCATGTACTCCTCAAGTTTGCTCCCTGTCCCATTACCACCATAGTTCAGCATATTGAATCACTGACTGTTGCTAATCTGGAATGGAATTTGCTGAGGGTTACAAGTGAGTCTGTGCATGAATGTCATTTAGATGTGAAGAGGAACTAAGGAGGGGAAGGGAGAGATTGTCAAGGCAAGGGAAGAGATAGTGAAAAGGACAAAACACTGAAAACAATGTGTGACTGTGGACTCATCATTATCAGCACAGCACGTGAGAATTAGATGCTCCGTGTGAATCCATGCAAGTCTGGAAATAGTAGAAACTTGGAAAGCATCAAGACTTCTTTGACCACTAAGCTTTTAATTTCATGTCTCAAAAAGGAGTGTCAGTTTTGGATTTGGGGATATAAGTAAGATGCAAAGTCTTTAATTTTTGTAATAGTTTCCTATAATGTAACATTTTCTTCAGAGAAAACAGCAAAATAGTTCTTGAAAATTGTCTACTGTTGTTAAGAATCACATTATAAGGCCCAGGTGTGGCAGACCCCTTGCCTAGCATACACAAGGCCCTGGGTTTGACCTCTATGTGATATGCTGTGTATGCATCTACACACGTGTTGGAGCACATCAATGCTAGAATTGTATAGTTCTCCCAACAATCAAAGTTTAGGGGGGTGGAGATAGTTTAGTGGTATAGCACTTGTCTAACATGCACAAGGCCCTGGCTTTAATGCCCACACTGGGGATTTATAATCTTAAACTTTCTCTTAATCATATTGTACACTCTATATAAAGTCTTTAAAGTAGCAAGTATTGTGAAGTACTTTATTCTCAAATGCAGTCAGAACCTAAAAATATGTAACTAAAAAGGCATTGTATTTGTTTTCACCAGGTTTCCTTTCTAAATTACTAGTCTTTGAGTTCATCTTCACAAATTCTGTTGCTAGTTCTCTTGCTTCCAGTATTGCAGTCACTGCCACGACATCCCTATTTGTATCTAAACAGCAGTCATAACATTTGATTATACCTCAGTCCCCTGTGAAAAAACACATGTAAAATCTACACTATTAAATGAGAATTGGGAAGAGGGGCAGTATAGGTGTCTACAGGTGTGACCCAGGAATACCTGGGTCTGCCTCAGACACTGTCAATATTGTTGAATCTTACCAAAAAAGGACACTGCTGTTGAATCTTCCTTTTCCCAGTCCTCATTCGAATGGAAACTATATTTTACTCAGCTTTGACTCAAGTCAGACAACTGGCTGATGCTAGCATTTATCCGTAGGTGGTGGATGTCTTTGATAATGGGTTCATTAAGTTAATCATTGAGCAAAGATCCTTGGTGTTCACAGTTGGAGAACTGTTTGACCTCAAGTGCAATGCAGAATGGGTAAAGTTCCTGAGATGTATTACATACATATGCTCCACACCAGTTTCTTCTTAATTAACCTTGAAGTTCCATTTTTAGAAAGCACATTCTGAGGTAATGGGGGGGGGGGCTTGGCCAAAATCAAACACTTTCCTCACACTGTGATTACAATCTTGATGAGAAAGAAGCAAACAGCGTTAGTACATGTGAATACCCTCTTTTCACTGTCCTCTGTTCTTACTCCTTAGAGTATTTTTCATCATGTAGTTGAATATATATTCCCCAAGACAACTGTAGAGATGGTTCAGGGTTGAAGATTGAGATACAGCATAAGATACAGAAGAGTGTGTGGTGCTAGGACAGCCTGATAGCCAGTTAATGGGAAGAGTTTGTGTGGTTAGGCTGACCAGAATCCTAAAATGAGTAAGTGCACTGTGTAAGAGAGATTGAGGAATACGGTTCAGGTGAAGCAAAAGGAAGAGAAGGGAGAAAAGCTTTTATTAAGAGCCAGTGTGTTTTAATTTTTATACCTTATAAGCTACATATATTTAAATTTCTATATATGAAGAAATTGAAATTTAGCAAGTTTGAGCAGCCAGGCTAGCACTACAGCGCTAGTAATTCAGTTAGTGAGGTGCAGAGCTGGTACTAGGTACTAGGTTGAACCATTGAAGTTGCTGCTATTTGATCATTTTTGACAAAAACAGCAGTTTCAGATGCTTTAACTTAAATATCCCCCCCACTTTTTTTAAAATAACTGGCCATGAAAGATTTACATATACTTCAGTTGTTGATCTATTAGGTAACTGTTTTACTTCTCTGACTAAAATAACCCTTTTAATTTGTATAGACCACTTTTTTTCCTTTATGAGTTGGCAAGCCTCTTTCTACAGTTCATATGTTGTGGTCCTGTTGTGTGGTAGTCACCTAGCTGGTCATTATACTTTTCACTATTTCTACAGACAAGCAATTCTCTTAAAAACGTCTCGTTCTTCTGCAGCACTGGATTTCCTGGAACAAATTTTGACATTTAGCCCCATGGATCGGCTGACAGCGGAGGAAGCGCTTTCTCATCCTTACATGAGTATATATTCTTTTCCAACGGACGAGCCAATTTCAAGTCATCCTTTCCACATCGAAGACGAAGTTGATGACATCTTGCTTATGGATGAAACTCATAGTCACATTTATAACTGGGAAAGGTAAATTGTTCCTAAATGAGAAAAACATTTCCTGAGTTTCCAGTGAACCATAACATAGTGAGCTTTATGTTTATACATGATGTCTTAAAATGTTTAGCAATGGCACCTTAGATTTCTGCTAAATTTATTAATAGAGAAAAATGCTATTTTGAAACAAAGTTATTAAAGCATGTTAATTAAAATTAGAAGATCTTTTAAATGTGAGGGTTGGAAGTCAGAACGATTTTTAACTATTACCTTTTTAAATGTCACCCAAATTTACAGTGTTATATTTACTTAGCCTCTTATTTTCGGGCTGAGGATGGGACCCAGGCCTCATGCACGTGCATCACCACTGAGCATATATCATAGTTTTAATAAAAGGACTTGTCTGATCTCAGCAGTATGAATAATATACATTAGAGTCAAAGAATTTCTTCCTTCATATCCTTATAGGACTTCTAAGATTGAAGAATTTTATATCTAAACTTCCTCCACAAAGTAAAGTGCTAAGCATGTAATAATGAATCAGTACTGAAGCCTACAGGTCATTTTGATGAAGTTTTTGATTTTATAATTTGTATCTTTACCAACCACCTGTTTTTTCTCCAGGTGCCTTATTTCTACCTCCTCTGAATATAGTTTTCATATATACCCAAATATCTTCCAACCTGTACATTATGTTTTTTTGAGACAGGGTCTCACTACCTAGCCCAGGCTAGCATGGAACTTATAATCCTCCTGCCCCGAGTGCTAAGATTATAGGTGTGCACTACCACACCTGGCACCAGCCTTTACTTTTTAAATTGTACTCAAGTGATTCAGATCTCTTTTCTGTTTTATCCTCCCCCCAACCATTTTCTTGATAAGACAGCACATTATACATAGATTTTTTTTTCTATTCATAATGATGGATTCTAGTAAACCTTTCTTATTTCTAGTCTGTTACTACCACCAGTAAAGTAAAAGTTTACAAATTTGAGATGTGCACTTTGTAGCCATAAAATATTTGTGTGAAACTGGTAGAATTGGACTGCAGACATGCTAGTCATCTAGATAATGATCTGTAGTTGTGTTTGTATGAATGAAAAAAATTGAAATAAGTGAGGTTGTATGTATGACATTGGCAATCACCAAATACTGCCTTAGTCTAGTTCTTTATATAGTAATAGGTCTTATGTATCTACTATGATTAAAGGCTCATGGATTACTCTATTATCCCTTGGTAGATATGACACAGTGTTTTCACTAAAAGGCACTCTCAGAACTGGGTATGGCTATACATACTTGTAATTAGCATTTGGGAAGCTAAGGCAGGAGACTCTTGAGTTGGAGGCCAGCCTGGGCTACCTAGCTAGACCCTGTCTCAAAAAAACAAATAAGCACTCAGTTCTTTCACATAAAATCCAGTCAGTGAATTTGGAAATGAAGCCATGGAATAATACTAATGTGTTATTTTTTTCAGGTACCATGACTGTCAGTTTTCAGAGCATGATTGGCCTATACATAACAACTTTGATATTGATGAAGTTCAGCTTGACCCAAGAGCTCTGTCTGATGTCACTGATGAAGAAGAAGTACAAGTTGACCCTCGAAAATATCTGGATGGAGACCGAGAAAAGTATCTGGAGGACCCTGCTTTCGACACCAGTTATTCCACTGAGCCTTGTTGGCAGTACCCAGATCATCACGAAAACAAGTACTGCGATCTGGAGTGTAGCCATACCTGTAACTTCAAAACAAGGTCCTCATCATATTTAGATAACTTAGTTTGGAGAGAGAGTGAGGTTAACCATTACTACGAACCCAAACTCATTATAGATCTCTCCAATTGGAAAGAACAGAGCAAAGAAAAATCTGATAAGAAAGGCAAGTCAAAATGTGAGAGGAATGGATTGGTTAAGGCCCAGATAGCACTAGAGGAAGCATCACAGCAGCTGGCTGAAAAGGAAAGGGAGAAGAATCAGGGATTTGATTTTGATTCTTTTATTGCAGGAACTATTCAGCTTAGTTCACAACATGAGCCTACTGCTGTTGTTGATAAGTTGAACGACTTGAATAGCTCAGTGTCCCAACTTGAATTGAAAAGTTTATCGAAATCAGTAAGCCAGGAAAAGCAGGAGAAAGGAATGGCAAATTTGGCTCAGTTAGAAGCCTTGTACCAATCCTCTCGGGATAGTCAGCTTGTGAGTAGTGGGGAGGAATGTTTTCTCATCAATCAGTTTTGTTGTGAGGTCAGGAAGGATGAACAAGTTGAGAAGGAAAACACTTACACCAGTTACTTGGACAAGTTCTTTAGCAGGAAGGAAGATTCTGAAATGCTAGAAACTGAGCCAGGAGAGGATGGGAAGCTTGGGGAGAGAGGAAACGAGGAAGGATTTCTGAACAACAACGGGGAGTTCCTCTTTAACAAGCAGCTTGAATCCATAGGCATCCCGCAGTTTAACAGTCCAGTGGGGTCACCACTTAAGTCAATCCAGGCCACCTTAACACCTTCCGCCATGAAATCTTCCCCCCAAATTCCTCACAAAACATACAGCAGCATTCTGAAACATCTGAACTAAAACACTCAGCAGACATTTCTTTGTATTTTTCATGAAATGTGTTTTTGTCTTTTTTATTACTAGTGTTTAAGTCATTTTTTACTTGAATCAGAAGGTGTCATTTAGTAAGGATTTTTAGTTCTTGGTTTTTAAAACCCTGACTTTTTTCTACATGTGAGATAGTTTTCATTTTAACTGGCATGTCGTTTGCACACAAAAGAATAGAGCAAAATAATGCAATGCAGGAGGAGACAAAAGAAATGCACTAAGACAAGTAAAAAACATTCTCTCATAGAAACAAAAATCTTGCCTTGAAATTTACACAGTGAGACTGTACATAACTGCATGAAAATCTCTATTTTTTTCCTAAAACATTTTTCATTCATTAGTATTTTCAAGTTTTTCATACTGTACACATTTCTTAAGACACATGATACCAGCAGCAACTGAAAATGAATGCCGAATTTGGTACACATGTGTTATCTACCTCAAGGTAACAAAGTATGTGGCAAAACATACCACCCATAGTGCTTCACGGCGTGCACTTCTATTTAGCCAGCGTTTATCGTAGTGAACTATTCTTAATAAGATTCACTCATCGTTTATAAATGTTCTGGTATTCATTCTTTATAGTGAAGTGTTAATACATCACATCTTATTTATTTTAGCAAATCAGTATATTTTCTGTATTTAATTATAAAAGTTAACTTAGTTTTAAAAAATTATTTGCAACAACACTTTCCATTTGGCACTATGGTTTGTTGCCTACCTAGCTGAATATGGTGTCAGCTTGTCCTAAGGCTGTCCTTGTACTTAATTTACTCACGTGTTCATTTTAAGTAAAGTACTCACTGTGTATAGGAATTTGTATTTTGGAGGTGCTTGATCTATCTACAAAGAAAAATTAGGAATTATTATAAAATGCTCCTAGAAGTCTTAATTGTGTTTATTTTTAAAAACCTGTAATGTTAGACTTGTGTGCATGGAAGTAATTAAGGTACATCATTATTGTAGTTTAAAAGTTGTACATGATAAGACATTTTTGTTTTCCTGTATGTTTTTACTGAATGATCTATTCCCTGTCCCAAGGCAAGCATGAATAAAATTAGGTTAAACGTAGCACATGGCCTCACAGTCTCTTAAAGTTTGTTTCATCTGTTTTATTTTTATATTGCTAAATCCCACCTTTGGCTATGCTCTTTGGAGAACAAGGACAAATAAAACATGGCCAACAAATACGACTCTGTTTCACTCTGTAGGTAATGGAAATGATCTGCTAGAAGGAAAGTCACTACCAGAATCTTTAGTCAGACTTTATAAACTGCTTGTCTAAAACCCTGAGGAAAAAAAAAGTTTTGTCTCCACAAAAACATCTTTTGTTAACAAAGCTTCACACACTTAAAATGGGATAAGGCTTTGTGTGTGTGTGTGTGACTGGGGTTTGAACTCAGGTCCTCATGCTTGCAAAGCAGGCACCCTTCCACTTGAGCCACACCTCCAGCCCCTTGGGATAAGACTTTGTATATTTCAAAACTATTACATAAAATGGGTGGAAGCTTTGAACTGCAAAGAAACCTCACTTGCTGTCAATACATCATCCTTCCCAGGCTCCAGACACACCCTGTCACCTGTCCAGACACATCACCATCCTTCCTTCATCCTTGTGTACTCCAGTTCTGTGTCTGCACTTTCTAACAACTCTGCTTCATTTCATCTCAATTCACAGCTTTTAGGAAATGCAAGTATTTGAATGAGTGCATCACACATCGTGAATTTAAACGTATAGTTCAGTTACCTTTCAATTCTGAGAGAATCCCACTTGTGGCTGAAGCCAGGTGGTGCCCCCAGGCTTGGAGCGGCATGGGTTTTGGTCTCCTGTTGAGGGAAGCAAGGTCAGCGGGCATTTGCTCCATTAGGAGTGTTTTTACTAGTGTAGTCTGAACTCATTCTCTCGTCATTGGCTTTGAATCCAAAATGCTGTCTCACCTGAGGGAAACCTAGAGCTTACTTTATTAGTGGGAAACTTGCTTTCAGACTTGGTCCGCTTTGGCCGTGTTGGGGTATGTAAGTAGTGGCTGTAACTATTGTTAGGGATGGTTTGATTCCTCAAAGCCACCAGAGGAGGATAGACTAAGTTCTTTGAAACTCTTAAAATATACCTGCTCTGGCGGGACCCAGGCTGGGTAGTTTTCAGTAAGAACTCAGGTTTTTCTATTCTTACCCTCCCTTACCCTTGGAACTGAATGTCTTCTTTATGGGGAACTAGAGATGATAGACTTTTAAAAGAAAAGTTAGTGTTTATTGTTCTGGAAAGGTAAGCTGACACTGGAAAATAAGAGTGACGAGGGGCAGGTGCTGGTGGCTCACGCCTGCAATCCTAGCTACTCAGGAGGCAGAGATCAGGAGGATCACAGTTTGAAGCCAGTCTGGGCAAATAATAAGACCCTATCTTGAAAAAACCTATTACAAAAGAGTGCTGGTGGAGTGGCTCAAGGTGTAGGCCCTGAGTTCAAGCTCCAGGACCACCATAAAAACAAAAGTGACATAAAGGTAAAGGCACAGCTCTACTTATGGCATGAATCTAATTAAAAAATAACAAATGACTGGAGGCATGGCTCTAGGTAGACTGCGCCTGCCCACCAAGCCCCAGACCCTGAGTTCAATCTCCAGAATTGCAAAAGAACTAAAGACCTGGCTAACAGAGATGGTGAAGGTACTGAGTTTTAAGTGTACAGTGATGTTAAACATTGCTGTACGCAGATACCTAGAACTCCCATCTTGCAAAACCAACTATATCCATTGAACAACTCCCCTTAACCCTCTCCCTCAGTCCCTGGAATCCACCATTTTACTAAGTTTGATTGGGCTAGAAACCCCATAGATGTAGAGTTAGCCAGCATTTGTCTTTTTGTGATTGGCTAATTTCACTGAGCATAGTATTCTTAGGATCCATCCATGGTGTAGCATATGGCAGAATTCTTGGTTTTTAGGGTTGAACAATGTAATAAATATATTTCACATTTTCTTTGTTGATGAACATTTAGGTCCCTTCTCTCTGTTTGGCTATAGCAAATGTACTGCAGTGGAGTCTCTCTTCAATTATATGTAGACAATTACATCAATTGTCATTTATGAGCTGGCACCAGAATTGGCGTAACTAGTTTTACTCTAAATTTTTCATGTTTTTCCATAGTGACTGTATCATTTTACACACCTACCATATTCACCATATTCTTTCTTTGCACGAGGGTTTCACCATATTCTTTCTTTGTGGTACTGGGGTTTGGACTCAGGGCCTCACGCTTGCTAGGCAGGCGCTCTACCACTTGAGCCACTCCACCAGCCCTGTTTTGTGTTGGGTATTTTCGAGATAGGATTTTGGGAACTACTTGCCCAGGCTGGCTTTGAATTTGCCCTTAGTAGTCAGGATTATAGGCGTGAACCACTTGTGCCTGGTTGGTTTCACTATATTCTTGCCGACTTTTTTTTTTTTTTTTTTTTAAATAGTGGCTATTCTACAGGGTGATAGCTCTTCATGTGCTCCTTTGGAGAACTGTCCTTGACTCATTTTTAAGGTTTTTTTTTCTTCTTCTTTTTTGAGTTACAAGCGTTCTTTATACATTCTAAATGTTGAGCCCTTATCAGATAACATGCTTTACAAATACTCCCATTTGGAAGTTGCCTTTCCATGTTTCACTTTTTGTGCTGCACAGAATATTTTATTTTTGGTGGTCTTGGGTTTAAACTCAGAGCCTCATGCCTGCTAGGCAGGTGCTCTACCATTTGCGCCCCCAACTCTTTTTTTGCTTTATTTTCTAGGTCAGGTCTTGTGTTTTTGCCCTGGACTGGCTTCAGACCAAAATCCTCCTACCTACACCTGTTTTACTGGGATCACAGACACAACCCACCATACCCAGTTTATTGACTGAGATGAGAGCTCCAGCTTTTTACATGGTCTAGCCTTAAACTGTAATCCAATGTGCCGCTCCCAGGTACCTGGGATTACAGGTGTGAGCCACCATGTCTAGCTGGCATAGAATTTTTCATTTGATGTCATTTACTTTTGCTTGTTGCCATCCAGGAAATTACTGCCAAATGCAGCATCATGAAAGCGTTCCTGTGTCTTCTTCCGGAAGTTCTCTAGCTTCAGGTCTTTCCTCTAGATCCATAATGCGTTTTGTGTTAATTTCTGTATATGCAGGAAGGTTAGGATCCAGCTTTGTTCTTTTTGCATGTGGACATGTTGAAAAGACTATCTGTTCCTCATTCTGTGACCTTGGCACTTTTTTTTGGAGATTATTTGACCATGCACATGGGGCTTATTTCTGGGTTGTGTTTTCTTAAAGTCCTTCTTGTCTCTTGTGAGTTTTGACTTAGTCTGTGTCTGATGGAAGCATGGTCACCTCTGCTCTCTTCACTCCATTTGCTGGGAATGTCTCTTTCCATCCTTTTGGCTTTCAGTCTCTGTAATTGCTTCTATTTAAAATGAGTCTCTTGCTGTGTGCTGGTGACTCACACCTGTAATCCTAGCTACTCAAGAGGATTGTGGTTCAAAGCCAGCCTGGGCAAATAGGTTGAGACATCGTATTTTGAAAGAACCCATCACAGAGAAGGAGTGGCAGAGTGGCTTAAGTGGTAGAGCGCCTGCCTAGCAAGTGTGAGGCCCTGAGTTCAAACCCCAGTACCACCTAAAATGATAAAATGAGTCTCTTAAAAAGAGTATGTAGTTGGACTTTTAAAAATTCATTCAGCCATCAGCCACTCTGCCATTAGGAATTTTAATACACTTAAGTTGTCCATAGAAATTGTTTTCTGGGTGTCTTGTTACTTCTTCCTCTTTTGCTTCATGTTTTGTTGATTTTTTTTTAAGTGATGTGCTTTATCCCCTTCTCATTTTCTTTTGTGGATGGTCTATTGGTATTTGTAATTACCACAGGAATTACACGAAGCATCTGGTTATAATAATAAGTTGATAGCAACTAACTTACCACACACAAAACTACTTTACATCCTCCTTATCAGAGTCACAAATTGCCTTTTTTTTTTTTGATACGGGCTATATAAACCAGATTGAGCTCATACATGTAATCCTCTTGCCTCAGCCTCCCAGGGGCCAGGACTATAGGCAGGTACCACACAGCTGGCTTACAAATTGCATCTTTATATTTTTTACTAATTTTGTAGTTGTAAGTTTTTGTACTTCTGTCTTTTAAATTCTCTATCAGGATTAAGAGTTTCCACACTACTGTTACAGTGTTACCTTTAACATGCATGTTGTCCTCCAGTGTCCTTACTTCCTGTTGCTCCAGTCACTGTAGCAATCGACCGCTCCAGTTACAGTCATGCTCTGCATAATGATGCCTCTGTTGATGATGGAGCGCATATATGATGGTAATCACACGAGACTACAGTGGAGCTGAAAAATTCCAATTACCTAGCGACTTTGGAGCTCCTTGCATCGTAACGTGGTGCACTGGTGAAGCTGGTGTAAACAAACCCGCAGCACCTGTCATTCAAGCAGCACACAGACCATTGGTATAGTACTTAATACCTGGAATGAATGACTGCGGTTTATGTACTTACTACACTATGACCGTGCTTTTTGTTATCCGACTTATAAAAAAGCTTAACAGCCTGCTACGTTATGTCAGCAGTGGCCTCAGCCACCTCTTTACCACACCCTTGACTGCATCAAGAGGCCTCATAACCGAGTGCCCTGTATCATGTGGGCTGAGTATGCTGTGACACTCGCACAGTGGGGTGACCCAGTGACACTGGTTCTCAGGACATAACGCATCATTAAGCAGTGCGCAACTGAATCATTTCTGCCAAGGCTCAGTGTCTCAACTAAAAGCAGAGCATGAATCAAATCGTGATGTCAAAACTCGAGCTGTGTCAGTCACCTTTGCTTCTAGGTTAGAAACCTATAGCCTAGCACTGCTCCCTGCACAATTATTGTTTATTTAAAATGCTATTTTTTTAAAAAATCAGATGCTGGGTATGTATGAACCAGAGCACATTTGATTCGGGTCATCACGTAGACTGAACTCTCCACTTCTTTGTCTCAGTCTTTATTCTTACTAGTAAATTCGAAACCAATAAAGGCTGTACCCTACGCAGATGTATCATGTACAGAAGTGGTCAATCTCACTTGTCATTTCACCCTATATGTGTTCATGTAGGGTTATCATTCAGGCCTAGCATCTTCTGAGTAAACAAAGGGGACTGAACTCTGGGAG